ATAGGGGGGTGAACCAACCATGATGTCCTCCAGATAAGATTGCCTGTAAGATATTGATGAAGTTCATGCTTAAAGAAAATGGGAGTAGGAAGTCCTGTCCCTTTCGTCACCAGACTGTACATACTCTGCTCTCTGTTAACTTCCACTTTACATTGCTGCAGCAAATCTGACTGGACATATTGTCCTTACAATTCACAAGAACAGCTGTTTGAAGGATTTTTTGGATAGAATTAGTAGCTGCAAGCATGCTGTCTTCATGTTCTTTCTGTTTTGCTTCCATGTTCACAGTAATGAGTTTGTTTTAGCTTATGAAGCCTTCCTTTGTTACAAAAAGAAGTCACAATCAGTTGAAAGACCTGCCTTGTCCCCTACAACACTATCGCTCTCTCTTCCTGTAAACATCCTCAACCCAAAAGCAAGAGTCTTTTCTCTTCTGCAACAACGTTGACTGTCCGCATATGTTCAGCTCACAGTTTAAATGTGTATCATCTCCTTCCCCCCAGCTTTTTACCTAGAGGAAAAGCATTAATATTCAGCCACCAATATCTACACAGTTTTGCAAAGCATTTGGAGGTACAGCCTGCCTGAGTGACAACAGGCAAAACAAATCTGTCATGTGTGCAACTACTATTATGAGCTAAACAGAAATCAAGTATTTAAGAAAGATTTAGTGTTTCAGGTTTTAGAATCCTAAATATCAGTTAATCAGTTAAAGTGTCGTATTGCATACCCACAATTTTCCATTTTGCAAAGCGCAGTTATAATTACCCCGAAAGCTGTCTGTCGAAGTTAATAATATACCCCAACTTTCAATACAATTTTCAAACTAAATTTTCCGTCTTTGACACTGTTTTCACCTGCTTTGTGAAAACAATGCTCACTTGATACTTAAGAAAAAGCCCATATACACAGCTATAAAAGGACTATCACAAAGAAAAGAATCGTACCCAGAACCTCCTCCCTCCTGCTCAAGTGTTCCCAGCTCAGTGTTCTGGCAGAAGGGGCCATGGGAGTGTCAGGAGCAGTAAAAATGAAAGACAGGTTATTAAAATGGGGGGCGGGGGTGGAATATACACTTCATTGTGTCCCATCAAAACTTCATCTAACCGCATACCCTCTCCTTAACAAAGGTGAAAAATGAGAGCCTCGAGCAGATGCAATGAGGACAGCATGTGTGATATTTCCACTTGGCATTCATCTCACCTTCAACTATGTGCAGCCTGAGGAATTCTGAACTTTGATGTGGTTTTTACGTATTCAGTAATCCTCAGTTCATTTCTCTTCCACAAACTTACCCATTTTCCCTGAACACAACTAAATTCTTATCACTCTGGATTGCCCATGGCAAGGGGTTCCACAGATTACCTGGATATTGTACAAAGAATCACTTGTCCTATAAAGAGCCAGGCCTCTTGCTACTATCATCTAATGATGCTTATTTCTTAAAATGAAGGTAACAAAGAATATCTGCAGCTTGTCCACTCTCTCCAGCCACTCATGACCTTGTTTGTATCCTGGTCTGACCTCATAAGGTCTCTTCCAATCTGAATTACCCTGTGATCCTATGGTTTTATCAATACCCGTAGTTTCCCTCCACAGTTTTTCTTCTTCCATCCCGAAGAATACCAGCTAACTTAGTTGTTCCTTATACAGAAACCAACCCATACCTTTTGGGGTTTTTTGGCCCTTCTCCAGTCCTACAGTAGTCTTTCCAAGACAGAAAATCAGAAGCATGACTTAAAGATGGAAGCGATGGCACAGATTTTTGCAGTGGCTTCACTATGTTCCCTGCTCTCCATTCCTTTCCTTACAATTCCTAACATTTGATCTGCTTTTTCAAGGAACATTATGTATTGAGATTGCATTTTCATAGAGCTATTTATCAGACCATAACATCAAGGTGTCATTCTTGTGTGGTAGGAGCTTGGAGCTCATCACTGTCTATGGAAAGTTAGGACTGGTTTTCTTCTGAGCTCTCAAGAGTCCTAGCCAAGTGCCCCAGCCTCCACAGGAGGTTTTTACTTCTTGACTAGTAAAACCATTTGATCTAAGAATCAGCATGGACCTACACTGCACCAGTGGACTAGTTGGTACAGCACTGTTGGGATGCATATGTTGGAAATTCACATTAGTTTACAGATAATCACTCTTCTTCAACATTAAAAATTCCACAGCCAAAAAGCTCTTTTCCTGCAAACAACTACCTAGGAGGTTTTTCTCATATATACAAGTTAGCTAGGGTATGATTCTTTTCATACTCCCATTTAACATAGATATGCAGACAAAGCGTATGGCAGAATTTATCTCCAGTAGAAAACTGTATATATTTACTTATCTTGCTTTCAAAAGCAATTTCCTAAAAAATAATCAGTTGTGAAGATCCCAGAAATGCCATAGCTTGTAATCGACTCTCTTTGGTACATACCATATTGAATATTCTGCTTACCATGGACTCTAAGCAAATATAATGCAAATTTAGTAGATTTCACTCAGGAGGCAAAAGGATTTGGTTAACATCAAATTCAATGGTCAGTAATCCCACTTTCCCTGTCCCTTTCCACCCAAGTAACACAAATATTTAAATTCCCCAAATGGTAAAGTTCAGCATCTTGAGCCCTGTTAAATCTTATAAGCCAAAGTAAATTCCATTTCTCTGATTAAACAGAGAGTATTTACAAAGATCAAAAATAAACAGTGTGTGCGAGTTGTTCTTTTTCATACCACCTGACTAAGCACTTTTTACTTTAACATCATTCGGAATGATGTTTCCACTATGTATTTTTGTCCAAAATAAAAGAAATTCCATTTCTCTGATTAAACAGAGAGTATTTACAAAGATCAAAAATAAACAGTGTGTGCGAGTTGTTCTTTTTCATACCACCTGACTAAGCACTTTTTACTTTAACATCATTCGGAATGATGTTTCCACTATGCATTTTTGTCCAAAATAAAAGGCAGTCCCTGTTTCAGGCATGAAAGACTGTGCAAGCCCTAGTTCTCTCTTGTACCACCTTTTCACCATGCTTTCTTCTTATTTCCTTCCTGATAGCAACTGTTTTTGAAGTGAGGTTCTCCCTCCAAGATGCTCAGTACAGTTGTCTTTAGTCCTTTCCATTGATTCTAACATGTCTTTAAGTAAAAGGAAAAAAAAAAAATAAATTAAATATAAACCCCCAAGTAGTATAACTACTGAGAAAATACCACTAGAGAGTCAGTCAATTTTGCTAGTATAAGAACGTTAGTCCTCATTCCCTCAGTGGTTCTCCACAGAAAATTAAAAGCTGTATTATGAGAGCCCAACTAATTGATTTCTTCAAAAGACTTGTGGTAAAAGGCCTAGTAAAAGTTGTTGCTTACAGATAATAATACTTGTCACAGATTAGGACAGATTCTTTGAGCGTTGGGAGAGTTTTATCTCACATTTGCCATTTCAGTGCCTTCTCATTCCCTCTTCTGGAGCATTTCATGCACAGTTTTACATCTCTGGAGTCAACAGGACTGAAGACTGTGGGCACAAAATGATGCCCTGGGTGCTGGCCACCATCAGAGTTGGGATATTCAGACATACAAAGCTGGGGGCATGTGTAAATTAAGCCAATGGATTTCACCTCAACTCACTAATGAACCATTCAGTGGCAGGAGAACACAGATCCTCAGAGCTGCCTGGTTTGGTAAGTCATCCATCATATTTTCAGATGTAATTATCCAGTGCAGCTCTCCTCAAAATAACATCTCCGATTAACGTCCAAGAAGAAACACCACAATTTAAAAAAAAAAAAAAAAAGACTACGAAAGTATTTATTTGTGTTCTAAAGAATCAAACAATGCCTAACTTTGAAAAATAGCTCAAAAAACAAAACACCTTTGGAAGCAATAAAAGGAAATGCAGCACTGCTAGAGCACAGATCTTGCTGCTGCCTTCTAATGTAGTTCTCAAGACCATGGAATCACACCATTGCATAAGGAAACACAACAAAATGAAAAGTGAGATCTTTGTCTCATGACTGTCACTACCCTTCCGTGTGCAACAGCAGGCGGAATAGTGGTTGAGCAATTTCAAGATTTAGATCAAAACTCCATACTACTGCTATACAAGTTCCTTCAAAAATAGCAATATCAAAGCGAAGGAAGTTCAAAGATAAGGCTGTTATTTTGTTTTATGAGTAATAAAAATGTATAAATGATAAAAACATCACAGAAAAGGAATATATATCCTTGTAAAAGCAAGGCGCGCTGCCACAGGAGTGAATTACTGGTATTTTTAACACAGCAACTCAAACTTGCACAGAAAACAACTATTTTACAGATTCTAGTTTTTCATTTTAATAAGCATTAAAGATCATAGGAGACAGCCAAGAGTTATGTAGTATCCTTTACACCAACGGGCCCGTGCCATGTAAAGTGCATTTACAACGAGCAGAAAGAAATGTAAATCACTGTATACTCAGTCCCACAAGCTGCTGCTCAGTTTAATCCTGACCCAGCAAAAGAGCCAAGCACACGCTGAACTTGGAGTGAGTAAATAGTCCCTGCTAACTGTCTAATCACAGTGCCCCACGCTTTTCAGACAAATGATGTAGAGCCTGTCTCCAATGGACTCAACAACAGCAAAAAACCAATCGGTGTGGCAGCAGCAACCCATATTTTATTAGCCCTGTGCAAAATGACAAGATAAACTGATTACTTCTAACTTGCTGCTGCAGAAGCTACAGTCTGAATTTACAGGAAGCCAGCCACTTTGGAATAAAGACAGAAAAGTTACCTCTTATTTATGGCAAAGGAGCCTACACAGCAGGAGTTACTGCAGTTAGCAGACCGAGCTCACGCCTCAGCCAGTGCCCCTGTATCTTGCCTGTTCGCCCATACCTTAAGGTTTTAATAACCTTGCTATTCAGAATTCTTGGGGTTTTGTTTTGTTTGTTTTTTCTTTAACCACCTAGATTTGTAAGGAACTTCAAAACGAAGGAGAATTAGGGAAATAAAGAAAAGATGAATGTTACCTGAAGGCCCTCGATGGCTAATCTAAGCATGCTTGGTGTGAGCTTGGAGGCCTGCTTGAAGGTGAAGTTGCTCCAGTCTATAATCAAAACAAATCCATTCACTTGAAGCTCTGGGTCTTCTATCATGGCTTCTAAAGAAAGAAGTATGGCGCGCAAAATATCCACCAGTGTGTACCTGAGAATGTTAAGGGGAGATCTGGTTAGGAAAGGAGCAACGACCACAGACATGGAGGAGTTCTGAGAGTTCTTCCTGTGTACTGTTTAAGGGCAGGTTAAATTAAAGGAGTGCAAACATATCCTCAGAAGTCCTGGGTATGTAAAGCTGGAAAAGTCTCGAAAGCTCAACTAGTTGAACTCATCCTCTGGAGCAGGATTATGTACATCTAGACCATCAGCCAGACAGAACAAACTACAAGAACATAACAAACCAGAAGCAAATTTGAACTTTTCTGTAGTCTCCTAAGCTGCTTTATTATCTATGGTTTTTATTAAATGTCTTTACAAACATACCTATGCAAATTGTATTTTATCAAGAGGTTAAATTAAAGGAGTGCAAACATATCCTCAGAAGTCCTGGGTATGTAAAGCTGGAAAAGTCTCGAAAGCTCAACTAGTTGAACTCATCCTCTGGAGCAGGATTATGTACATCTAGACCATCAGCCAGACAGAACAAACTACAAGAACATAACAAACCAGAAGCAAATTTGAACTTTTCTGTAGTCTCCTAAGCTGCTTTATTATCTATGGTTTTTATTAAATGTCTTTACAAACACACCTATGCAAATTGTATTTTTCTAAAATCATAATGATACCAAAACCATAGTCTAACACCAGATGCCTAGACCCAAAGTTTCCTCCTATATTTTTGCAAGGGATTGAAATAAAAGCTTCTACAAAATTATCAGCCAAAAAAAGGAATTTCCACATGCTCCCCTTGTCCATCTCTCTGGGCAATGCTTTCTCTTAAATCTACAAAAGGTATTACAGAAGGCTGATTACTCAAGGATCTTGAAAGAGGAAAGTAACACACACTAGAGCTTTGAGGTGTTTCTGGTTAAGAGCAATAGCTACCTTTAAGAGCTACTTAAACTGTCCTCTAAGTACTGAGTACTTTGTATATCCAAATTTCGTGGCCTCAGGAGTAAGTCTGGAAAGCGGTATTCATTGGTTCTAGAATTTTCTGTATTAAGTTTGGAGTTAAATTTAGAGATGCCACCTACAACATGTAATTACGTGGTTTACATATATGCACATAATCTTTTCTTAGATTGATGAACTTGTAAAAGAAGATGTAATTCCATATTGCCAAGCCCTGATGAGTATAATCTTTCTTTTTGAAGCTAAAGCACCTAATACAGCAGCTCAATAGCTTAAATATATACAGCAATGTCATCTTTAGACTGCCATATAATAGACTAATTAATCAACTTGGAGTTTAGGCTATTGAGCTTTTTTTAAAAAGGTGAAATACCTGAATTATCTGGGCTTTTTTAAGAGATATTAAAGTAGTAGTTTACGTGGTTTTGGTTTTTTGTTTGTTTGTTTGTTTTTCAAGGCTTAGCTATGTTTTACATCTAAAACTCTTTTATAAAAGTAAGATATACAGTTACTGAAACAAATGTAAATTTGCCCGTCCACACCACAGTATCAGATGCAGCAATAGAAAGCCAAACCAGAAAAACATCAGCAAATATTCCAGGAATAAAAGAAAGAGTTAAATCTTTAGTGTTTGTGCAGATATTTTTAAATAAGGTCTTTTAAAAGCCTCCCATGATGGTATCAAACATAGAAGTTCTCAAAATTATGAGTCCCCTGAGAAATCTTCACCATACTGCATATGTACCAAAGAGCCTGTGTGCCTATTTAGAAATTACATTAAATTATACTGACTTCTACTTGCTTTAATATGAGTGCAGTGTTCTATTGTGTACATAACCATATTTTGAAAGTATCTATAAAAGGAAATAACATAAATGAAATTAATCTGCTCAAGCTGACTCCTCGCATCTTTTCATATTTTTCTTTTAGCCAAATAAAACTCATTGAACTTCCCAACTACACATTCCTAGAAAAGGGACTAGGAAAGGACTATCTTAATCTCAGCCTAACACAAGTGAACAAGACAAAGTGTGTTTTCCCCAGAAAACATTAGGGGAAGCATTGTTTTACGTGATTCTTCTCTTCATTTTGGAAACCCTTATTTTGCTTTGAATTTGGTTTAACTGACTGGGATAAAAATTCTCATATTTACTCCTCTCCTTTTCACTTTTCTGAGATTTAACTTTTTTCTAAGGCTTTACTTTTCCGAGATCTAAGGTTTACATGGAGTCTGGAATGCCCTCTCCTTTCTGTTCAGGCTTTTTCAACGGGGGGACGAAACAGCACAAGAAAAAAATCTTCTCTGTGATTTCCCTATGGAAATCTTCAAAACGCTAAAATTCTCTATTTCTTTTTGACAGGGAAAAAAAAAAAAAAAAAAACAACCCACCATTTCTCTAAATGGAATGCCCTTATGCCAACATGCCTGGGGGCAGAGGGGGCTGCTGATGCTCCCCCTCTCCCAAGCCCAACTGCTGGATGTGTGGGGAAAATGCCACCGTCGCTGCTGAGACCTCTGAAAAAGCAAACAAACACACCCCCCCAGCGCCGCAGCGTGAGGAGTGACCTGAGGAAAAAATGAAATCATGCATGGGCTCTTTCCCAAATGAGTTTGCGCATGTATAATGGGACGTGTGGGGAGTGTTTGGCAGCATGAAGACTACAGACGGTTTTAACTGGCACTAAAAAAACGTCTGAGTTTGCCTCGTGTATCTGCAGACCAGTCTACCTACCCAGTACAACACTGGTGCGTGGAGAGTGGAGGTCACCTCATCAACACGGGAACTAAAAATCCCCTGTTTGACATGCATTTTGTACAGCTGCCAGCACTGGGATTAAAACATATGCTTAGCCTGAGGGAAGGAAGCTCACAGTCATGTTCAGGGTCAGGGCTGGGCTCAGACCAGAGCCAACCGCCTTCAAACCCCTGGTTACCTCCACAAGGTGGTGGAGGTGTCAGAAATACTATTTTTTTTTCATGAAATTAGATGGAGGCACACCCTCTAAGAGGCCTTCCCAGGGGAAATATTGCACTGGGAAGGAAATCACATCAGGTGAGACAGTGGGAGAGCAGCAGCATAATGCTTCACTCTGAGGAAGACCATCTATCAAAGCTCATACTAGAAACAGACATTAAAAATACTCAAATCCTAAAATTAGCCTCAGCCTCTCTTGATGTTTATGCTGCCCCACTCAGAGGATCTCACACTCCAGGAGAGGAGCTCCACGAAGCAGAAGGCTGCTGCAAGCACCCTACATCCAGGGCAAACAGATGGGTCCCAAGTTCCTGATGTAGATCTCTAATGTCCTCCCTAAGGAATTCAAGAAGACATCACGTGCTTTGGATTAACGGCTCCCTAGTGGCACAAGGCTGCTAGAAATCTGATGCCTTAGACATAAAGATTCTTTGTTTATGAAGCCAATCAGATCTCTAAGACTGGCCATAAAATGCTTTTATATATACCTAAGTGATAAATGTATAGATGTATACATATATAAACACAAATACACCTAATTATGTCCAGAATTCATACAAGTCAACGGGAAAACTGTCAGGTATCAACAAGACCAGGATTTCCACCTGAGAGATCCACCACAGAGAGTAATGAATGGCCACAGGGCTGGGCTTCCACAAATCTACAGCATATTCACCATCCCTGTAACTCCTATTGCAGGTTGGCTTAGTGCAAGAAATACAGCCCACAACAACAACAACAACCATATTGAATGTTTACTCACTGAAAAAGACAAAGGGTTGTCCTCTCAGTGAAAACAAGCCCTGAAGAACACAAGTCTAGCTAAAAGTAAGCACGAACACCTTCTGCCAGAGGAAGGTACCTGAAGTATTCTTTAAGTCTAAAAAAGCCACATTTGGAGCATACAGAGACATGTCACTAACAACTATGCTTTCCACCTCAAATACACTTCAGGGCAATTAGTTGAGGATAGGAGCTATCCTTCATTCTGTAATGGACCTCTTCTCTTGGTTTTGACACCTTACTTAAGTACAGCCCAGACAACCAGACAAGAAAGGCAAATCCATTAGTGGATATTTAAAGCAGCTTTTACTCTGGACACATGCTGAGGCAAGCCAGAAATGTAAACCTGGTGTGATAGATGAAATCTTGGGTGGTGCAAAAGGCAAGCTGAGCATTGAAAGTATCAGCTGAACAGCCCAAGCAAATGGAACATGATTAAAGAAACCATACTGAAGCTTTCACAGACCTACTTGCATAAAGACTCATCTTTAGTCCACTCCAGCTCCATGTTGTTCAACATTTCCCCTCACTGCTCCTGCTGTTCCTGTCAGCACCAGGATGCACAGGCTCTGCCATAAAATTCGCTCCAGCCTCGGCTGGACTTTAGGGAAATTATTGCACTGCTGAAACTTTTATTCCACGTTGAAATTACTTTCCATATAGATACAGAAATACAACCAATCAAATGTGAGAAAAATGGGATAAGCTAGTGAGTGTGAAATCAGACTGATCCAAGATGGCTTTGACTGCCTTTCTACTTTAAAGGAAAAAAAAAAAAAGAACATATTAGCCTTTAAGAGACCGTGCTGTTCAGTCTGAGGGGAAGATTTGGTAATGTTTCATTAAGTAACAGTGTGTATTTAGGGGACAGCAAGTCTCTCCTTTTGCCCTGGCCCCAGTGTCACAGGGACTGCCCCAGTGCTCAGGCAGCTGGGTGTGCTGGGCCAGATTTGCTGCAGGGGCTACAGCAGCCTGGAGTTCGGCTGTGCAGACATAAATCCTTATTTATTTATGGCTAAATTCAGTTGCATTCACTTGTTTAAACAGACTCTTATGGGACGGAGCGTAGCTAGCAAGGTATTACTAATTGCTAGGATAATCGAGAGCTCACAGTTAATTTAAATGTATTTAATGCCCTCTATTTATAGAACTGTGCTTAATTCAATGGAGAGCTTAGACAACTTTTTATTTCCCCAGTTGTTAATGTGAATAACAGATGCTGGAAATATGTTATCACATATATAATGCATTCTTAATGTTTATTTTCTATGTGGGTCCCAGCCTGAGTTGAAATGAGGTGGGGACTGGGGTGCTGACA